CTAAAGTAAAAGAGAAAAAAGCATTTCTATTTTCTTTAGTCATCAAATCATTAAGGCTATGTCTTGGAGCTCGGAATATGATTGGAAAGGAGGGAAATACCAGAGAAAAAGATTTCTAATTTCTATGTTTGGTTTTACAAGAAAAAACACGAAGGACAATCAAACTTAATTAAGGTTTTAAAAACTATACATGTGTTATGATTTCTTGACATATTCTATGTAATTCTTTATATAATAGATACTTAAAGAATGAGTTTGAACGAATATCTGAAATTGATTTATTGAGCTCAAAGCAAAGCTTATTCTTTTAACCCACATTTTATTTTCTACCATATTTTCTCCATTTTTCATCCTCTAGCATTTTTCGAGTTCCAAACAGACCATTAATGTTATAGGACGAGACATCAAGATCTATATTCTCAACTGTAGTAGCTGACCTGCAGACAAGCATCACTCCAGTCCACAGCACCATAGGTTGAAGATAATAGGCCATAACATGATATGTGCTACTCTTGCTCCAACTACTATCACTTTTCTGTAGATATTGCAGTAGATAGGTTGTTGCAAATTATAGAAGAAAAACTAAGCCACAAATTTCAAAATGGCACAAGAAGAAAAACTCAAAAGCATGACATACACGGAGGAATAAGTTTCTACTTTGGCGCAACATTGGTCCCAAACCCCATAGCCCAAAGGCAATAACTCCAACAGCTGGTATCAACTTGAGGATAAGAGGGCGGCTTTGCAACCAATTGTATGATCTGAATAAAAGTTTGAGGTCGGCTAACATGAAATCGGGGTTAAAAAGGATAAGAAAGATAAGAAAGATAAAAAGATAAGATAACGTAAAATGTTTCAAGGGAAAGGACGGGGTGACTATGGGATAAATAAAATGTTTAGTAGCCAAGACTCAGTTACGTTGAAGCTTAAATGAGCAAATCTTACCACCAAAACAATAAAACAGTAAATACAGGCACTAAACTAAAACAATGTCGAGATAGACATGAAAGTAGACTCTCTCCAACCCAGTATGTTTGTCCCATTTTTTCATTATAATTCATCCCAGAACTTTCCCATATTATATTTGGTCAAATTTGACTATTTGTGTGACCCAAAACTTTTCATACTTAACAAAATTAATATCAACCACACAATTCATCTTTTCTCTAGACTTGTTGTCACTTCCCCTTGCCTCAAACTTAAAGGACCACCGAAGGGAGTATATAAAAATGAAAAATAAAGATTAATAAGAAAAAAGTATATTCTTTGTGAATTAATGCAAATATCATCATGCATCTAAAACAACGCAAGTTAAGAATTACCTTGTAACACATATAACAGCATTCTTTATAGACGTAGTGTCAACAGGCTGTCCTGGTCTTAAGGAAGAACTACACCGAAACCTATTGTTTCTATACAAAATAACATTTCTCTCTGCTTGCAAAGCCTTTGAAAGATGAAGGCTCCAATAATCCTGCTTCTGAAAATACAAATTAGAACGTCAGCCTGCATATAAATAAATAATATTGAGTAAGACACTAAGACCTAAAAGAATGATTTTTTTAACAAATAAGATAGTAGCATAAAAAAATGATGAATTGGCCTCTTTGCGTATAGTGAAAACACATGCCCACAATATACACCTATGCTATGATCCTATGTAAGAGCTAATCACTAAATAAAGTGATTGTGAATTCCTCCCATTGTTTCACACTTCCACCATGAGTTCACATCCATTAATTTCAGGACTTGGAGGCAGTATATATGATACCTTCATAGCTATCAAGCTAATGGTGCATCTATAACACTGAATCACTGACAAAGCTAAAAATTGAGATGGACTAATGAGTGCTTTACAAGAATGTGAACCACAGGTTACGTGGTATGCTTTACAAGAATGTGAGCCACTGATAAAGTGATTCATTTTAACCAAACCAAAAAGAGGGCTGAAAATTCAGACACTGCACAAGCCACATCGTCCTATGAACAATGAACTATGAAGAATGAAATGTTCTCATTTGAAACAATTGAATCATAGCGTGATAAAAATACATCACCAAATAATAGCCCTTGAATGTCTCATCATAACAACAGATTAAAGAAACATACAATAAGAAATGATGACAGTCTACTGGTAGAGCTTCGCAACCTGCTCCCCCCAATCTCATTCTGTAGCAAAAACAGGGCAATTTAATCACACTCTAGAATGGAACAGTTAAGAATTAAGGACAATTACAATATCAATACCCGCGATAGTTGATATGGAATATGGTTCTTTCGAACTCCCAGATAATGCGGAAGTTGCAAAGAGCCAACCGCTTCCATTTCAGAAACAAATTTTGCTCCTGGAGTTCAAAATCGGCATAAGATGATAATCCCAGAACTGAGCATTCAATTCAATTCCAGATGCTAGCGGCATAAGATGATGATCCTGCTACAAAGCATTCAATTCACTTCCAGATGTCAAAAACTTCTTATAAGCTGGAAGACTGGCCTTATCCCGAGCAGACCATCAACTAACTTGTCTCGAACTGGTGATTGTAAGATCGGAGGTCTACAGAAACATAACCTAATTCCACAACTCTTATCCAAAAATCAAGAACTGAACAAAAATAATACCAAATCAAATTATATGCATTAAAATTCGAGGCCAGAAAAACGGTTAAAAGATGAGGAAATGGAGAAAAACACGACGCCGTATGAGAATCGATTAGAAATTCCGAAATCTATTGGGAAAGGTTGCATTGGGCGACGCATAGACGCATACAAGACAGGGAGCATTAACCGTGTTAAATACGGAGTACGAAGTATGAAATTTTGGGTTTAGGTGAAGTTGCATATATTGTTCCTATAAAAGATAAAATTTACTCTTAACTTTAAATAAATAAAATAAATTTTTTGAAACACTAAAAATACATTTTAAATTCGAAATTGAAAAATAAGAATTAATGAGTTAAAAGTAAAGATTTATTGTTATGTTTAAAATATTAACTCTTAAATTTTAAATTGCAAAATTATTATTTTTCCGTTATAAATGAAGCACCTCGAATTCATAAAAACTAATTTTAGTCTTGTTGCGAAATTTTGAACATATTGTTACATTTTTTGAAATAATATTCTTTGGTTTTGTTTAACATTAATAAAATTAAATTCTCTCTTGAACTATTTATTATCATACAAAATATGTAATTTTATAGTGCAAAGAATACAAAAAATTAATCAATATTTTACATTGCAGCACACATATTAACACTTTTCCAAAAAAAATCTTAAATATATAGTAAAATTTTGAAATAATATTTTATACTCACAATACTAAATTGTGATATAAAAATAATAAAAGGGAGAATTGCACACAAGTAGATTTTATTTTTTCAATCTCAAATTTATATTTTAATTTTGGTGTTTTTTTGAAATTTATTTTATCTATTTAAACTCAATAAAAATAAATTTGATCCTTTATAGGAACATGAGGGGTAGTTTTGAACCTTTTAAAAGTTCAAGGTATATATGTACTTCCACATAAACTTCAGGGGTATATTTGTTGTATGTAAAAAATAAAGCGGAGATACATTTGTTCTCACAACCATACTAGAAGGTATACTTGTATCTTTTCCCATGGATTTTTTGGACTCCTATTTTTTATAGTAGTTGCTAGGGGTGGACATATGCAATTTGGTTTGAATTTGGTACTATTTCTTTCAAATCATATTAAACCGAACTGAAATCGATAAAAATCACACAAAACCGAGCTGAACTAAGGAAATTTAAACCGAATTAAACCAAATCTAACCAAACCTTCATATATTATTTAAAAATAACAAGCTCAAACCGAATTGAACCAAACCGAAAAATAGTACGATTTTTGTTTGGTAATAAGGGGTGTTTGGATCTGATTCTTAAAACTGCTTCTGCTCTTTCAAGGAGCAGAATCAAAAGTTGGAGTTTTTGAGTGAAAGTGCAGAAGTGATTCTAGTGCTCTAATTTACTCTTAGAATCAATTTTTTTAGAAGCTGGGGGAGACCGAAAACTGATTCTGATTATACTTTTGCTTTTAAAAAAGAAGCAGAAGCAGAATCAGTTCCAAACACCCCCTAATTCTTCCAATCCGTTCTCGAAATGAACCGAAAACCGATATACACACCCCTAGTAGTGGTAGGCTAAATGGGGTACTAAAAGTGAGAAATGGGATGAAGGGGATATAAATGGAGGATGAGCTAAGAGGGGGAAGAAAGGGAAAAAGAAAAGTAAAGGGGAAGGAGGAAGCGGACGTCATTCCCGTGTCATTCCTACATCATTATAATCCCACTTTTTTGAACTCTTATAATTTTTTTTCTCCATTTTTTTCAAAAAATAAACCTCTTCTGTTTCTCAAGACTTCGCCCATTTTTCTTTTTGATTGTCGCACTAAATTTGCCCTTTACCTTTTCATTAATACATTTGTGATTTCGGTTAATTCGATCTCTCACCTCTGTACAAACCTCAACCACACATTTTTTACTTTATTAATCCCCGTGACGGTCAAACTTAAAAAAGTTTGGCCGTAATGAGCATGGTAGGCTGTTGTTTCTCATAAGTTTGTCCCCTGGTTTCCTTGGCTATCGCATTTTTTATGTCTGATTAATTAAAATTGGTTTGAATTCTTAGAGGTAGGTTACTTAGGGTCTGTTTGCAACAACTTCTGCTTTTTAAAAAGTGTCTTTTTTAATGAAATAGGGAGAAGTGATTAAATAAAAGTTGATAGTGTTTGAGAAAAAAGTGATTTTGAAAAGTAAAAGTGGGTAGTGTTTGGTAAAATAAGTGTTATTTGTGTAATAGAAAAAGTAAAATCACTTTTGACGCGGAAGCCGAGAAAAATAAAAGTTGTAGTGTTTGGGAAAATAAGTGTTTTTTTAAAACCAAAAGCTGAGAAGTACTTTTTTTAAAAGTTGTTGCACCAACCCTTACTTGGGTTAGGAGATCGACATCCTACCAATATCATGTTGCATCGATATAGGTACTTCATGGCCCCGCTAGTGTTGCACTGTTGCTTATTCCAGAAGTTTTAACAATATTCTTATTAATCATGTGTTTTCAGTGGAAAAATACTGCATATTGACTTTGAGGATTGCTTTGAAACCTCGATGAATCGAGAAAAGTTCCCTGAGAAGGTAGGTATTGAATCTTGATTGTTTTTATTGGAGAAAGTGAAACAAAATATTCAAAAAAAAAACTTGTGAATGTAAATTATTGTGCAGGTACCTTTCCGCCTCACTAGAATGCTTGTTAAGGCAATGGAAGTCAGCGGTATTGAAGAAAATATTCGCTCCACTTGTGAAAATGTAATGCAAGTTCTTCGTACGAATAAAGACAGTGCAATGGCTATGATGGAGGTAAATTATTTGTTTTCCTTCAATACTTTTAATTTAATGTCTCAGTTGTGCTGAATGAATTTTCTGAAGACACACAAGAGTAAAGTGATTAAATGAAGAGAAGAGCACTTCTTCTCAATTTTGTTGAGGAAATAAACCTTCCAACTATCTTTCTACATATTTATTTCCATCTCTTTCAGGCATTTGTTCATGGTCCCCTAATAAACTGGCGGCTTTTCAACTTCAATGAAGTTCCTCAAATGTCTACACTGCACACCCCTGCTGCAGTCAACAGTGAGGAATCTGCTTCCAAGAAGCTAAGCTATTTCAACCACAAAGAGGTGCCAGGGAGAAGGAATTGCTTCAGGTGGCATATATAGTTTTGTTATGTTAAACATAACTATACCACCAATGATCACTAGTATCAATATTACATAATGACATAGATCAATCATGAAATGTGTAGCGTGAAAATTACATGAAATGTGGCATGTACATGTAAATTTTCAACTGACCCTTCTTTAATAAACTTTAAAATCTTAATTGTTCAGAATACACCAAATGTCAAACTTTATTCTGATCAGAAAATAAATTCATAAAGCAATAGAACATCAGGCATAACTTATAAACTCCCACTAAACTTGAGGTTCCTTAAAATCAATGACTCCCAAGTGAGCAGTATGCTCATGAACCTGGCTCTGATACCAATTGATGGATATTCATACATATATCAACAAAACTCCATATGCGATATATATATAAATATATAATAGCTAAATCCATATAAATCCATGAAATCAAATATGTATGAACTAAGATTAGAACAATACCTTGAGAATTCATTTGCATTAACACTTTAAGAAGACCCGGAATCCAGCACGATTGATCGGCCTAACCTTCTAGTGCTATGTACCGTATGAGATGTTGATTGTCCTAGTCCTACCTATTGATGGGATATATATAGGAATAGTGGAATATTGTAACGGTTGGCCCTTAGTATTCTAATAACTCCTTTATTATTATTACAATAATGATATTATTTAGAATAATTTATTAGGCCATTTTCCGTTACAATATCTTTACTGTTATCTCTTAGTTTACACGCACCGGGGGTCATAACCGTTGTATCACTTTAGTGTAATATATTTAATTTGACCCGTCACCAAAAGAAATATATTATCCTGGTATCTACACTTTTATTATTTCATGAATAGCCACTGTATTATTTATTTGATGGTAAACACATTTTAATTAATTACATATTAGGCCCCTTTTATTGTTTTCCAACAATCTCCCACTGGGCCTTATATGTAATTCTTAACAAAATGTGTTATCTTTATGAGCTCAAAAATACCATCATATAAAATAACATCCTTAAACAATCTGGTCCATCAGTAATACTAATATAGAACCATTGCAGCATTTTGCTATGTTAAACATAACTATACCACCAATGATCACTAGTATCAATATTACATAATGACATAGATCAATCATGAAATGTGTAGCATGAAAATTACATGAAATGTGGCATGTACGTGTAAATTTTCAACTGACCCTTCTTTAATAAACTTTAAACTTTAATATCTTAATTGTTCAGAATACACCAAATGTCAAACTTTATTCTGATCAGAAGATAAATTCATAACGCAATAGAACATAACTTATAAACTCCCACTAAACTTGAGGTTCCTTAAAATCAATGACTCCCAAGTGAGCAGTATGCTCATGAAAAACTTTTGGCGGGAGACCCTTGGTTAAAGGATCCGCTAACATGGAGTTTGTACTTATATGTTCAATAGCGACTCTTGTATTCTGAACCCTTTCTTTAATAGCTCGATATTTCACTTCAATGTGTTTTGTTTTGCTCGAGCTCTTGTTGTTAGAGTAAAGCACCGTAGAATTGTTGTCACAAAATATCTTGACAGGCTTCGGAACTTCATTTAATATTCTTAGCCCATCAATAAAATTGTGCATCCATATTCCATGGTTTGAAGCTTCAAAACAGGCCAACAACTCTGCCTCCATAGTTGAGGTAGCTATCATATCTTGCTTAACACTTTTCCAAGATACAGCACCACACGCTAGTAGATAAACATAGCCTGAAGTAGATCTACTAGTGTCTTTACAGCCGGCAAAATCAGAGTCGGAGTATCCAACGACCTCCAAATGATCTGATTTTCTATATGTAAGCATATAGTCCCTTGTTCTCTTTAAGTATCTCATAACTCTTTTGGCCGCCACCCAATGAGCCATTCCTGGATTACTGAGATATCTGCCTAGCATCCCAACAATGTACGCAATATCCGGACGCGTACAAACTTGGGCATACATAAGACTTCCTACAACAGATGCGTAGGGAATCTTTTTCATTTCTTGAATTTCCAAATTTGTTTTAGGGCACTGATCGAGACTAAACTTGTCTCCTTTAGAGATAGGGGTATCACACGGTCTACAATCTTCCATGCCAAATCTTTTAAGGACCTTATCGACATAGTTCCTTTGTGATAACCTTAAGATTCCTTGTGATCTCTCACGAAGCATTTCAATTCCTAATACAAAGGAGGCTTCACCAAGATCTTTCATTTCAAAATGTTTTGATAGAAATCTCTTGGTTTCATGCAACATGCCTATGTCATTAGTGGCAAGAAGAATGTCATCAACATATAAGACCAGGAAAAATATTTTACTCCCACTGAACTTATGATATACACAATCATCTACATCATTCATCTTAAAACCGAAGGATAAAATGACTTGATGAAATTTGTGATACCATTGACGAGAAGCCTGTTTTAGCCCATAGATGGATTTTGTTAATTTGCAAACCATTTGTTTTGGATCTCCAATCACAAAATTTTCTGGTTGCACCATATAAATAGTTTCATCAATGTCACCATTGAGAAACGCCGTCTTAACATCCATCTGATGAAGCTCTAAATTAAAATGTGCAACTAAAGCCATAATGATTCTAAAAGAGTCCTTTGATGAAACCGGAGAAAAGGTCTCTTTATAATCAATTCCTTCTTTTTGAGTATAACCTTTAGCTACAAGACGAGCTTTATATCTCTCCACATTACCCTTTGAATCCCTTTTGGTTTTAAATATCCATTTACAACCGATGGGTTTACAACCTTCAGGTAATGGGACGAGTTCCCAAACTTTATTGTCTTGCATAGATTTATACTCCTCATTCATTGCCACAATCCACTTTTGAGAATTTGTACCTTTCATGGCTTGACGGAAGTTGATTGGATCATCTTCCCTAACTCCACTTTCTTCCTCATGTTCTTGAATAAACACAAGGACATCGTTCTCTGTATCCATGCTTGACGCATGTTCTTGAAGATATACAACATAATCATCTGGAATTGCGTATCTCCTTTCTCTAGTGGATCGCCGCAATGGCACGTTTTCTTGTTGCACTTGTTCTAGAGGAAGTTGAGTTTGTTCATTTTGAACAATTTGTTCTGTTTGGAAAGGAGGAGATGAAATAAAGCCTTGTTGAGGTTCCTCATTAGTTTCAAAAGAAACATCCGTATGAATTGGTTCAGGTATTGAAATCAATTCCTCCTCAAAGACAATATCCCTAACTTTATTCTTCCCCCCAAACTCAACATCCTCGAAAAATATGGCAGTTCCCGTCTCAAAAATATTTTTATCCTCAGGATTATAAAATTTATATCCCCTAGATCGTTCCGAGTACCCAATAAAGTAACTACTAACTGTTTTGGGTTCCAGTTTCTTTTCATGTGGCCTATACGGCTTTGCCTCAGCTGGACAACCCCAAATATGAAAATGCTTTAAACTAGGCTTTTTACCCGTCCAAAGCTCATAAGGTGTTTTAGTAGTTGCTTTAGTTGGCACTTGATTAAGAATGTAAGCTGCGGTCTTTAATGCCTCACCCCAGAGGGATTCCGGTAAGATAGAATGAGAAATCATACTTCTTACCATTTCTTTAAGGGTTCTATTACGCCTCTCAGCTACACCATTCATGCTAGGTGAACCCGGCATGGTGTATTGAGGGACAATCCCACATTCCTCTAGAAATTTGGCAAAAGGCCCTGGACGTTGTTCACCTGAGCCGTCATACCTCCCATAGTATTCACCACCACGGTCGGATTTGACTTTCTTTATGCGTTTGTTGAGTTGATTCTCAACTTCCGCTTTGTAAGATTTAAACACGTCCAAGACTTGAGATTTTTCATGTATAAGAAATAAGTATGCATATCTAGAGTAATCGTCTATGAATGACACAAAATATTGTTGACCATTCCATGAAAGAGTAGGAAATGGCCCACAAATATCCGTGTGTATTAATTCTAGGACATCCGTAGCTCTATATGCACCTTTTTTCTTATTTTTGGTTTGTTTCCCTTTAATGCACTCAATACAAGTATTGAAATCAGAAAAATCAATGGAATTAAGTGTTCCATCAGACACAAGACGTTCAACTCTATTTTTAGAGATGTGACCTAATCGTTTGTGCCATAAAAAACCAGATTGTGCATTATCAACCTTTCGCATAGTGCCTCGGGTGTCAACATTCAAAGCATTATTATATGAAGTTATTGTTTCGAGCATGTAAAGATTGTCATATGACATAAAAGAACCAGTCCCCACAATATTTGAATTTAAAGACAAATTAAACCGGAAGTTTCCAAAAGAACAATGATAACCTAATTTTTCCAAATAAGAAATAGAAACCAAATTCCGCCTAAATGACGGAACAATAAAAGTGTCTTTTAAATCCAAATAGAAACCAGTAGATAATAACAATCTAAAATGCCCAATAGCATCCACATGCACCGCTTTGCCATCTCCCACATAGACGCATCTTTCAGCATCATTTGGCTTGCGGGGGCTCAGACAACCCTGCATAGAAATACTGATTGTTGGGTTAAGGGCCCAAGCCGAGGTCCGGCCCACTAACCCATATTGCCAGACGCACGTCCAGCTAGAACACCAGGCCAGCTCATAGGCCCATGTCCCTTGGGGAGGGACGAACGTCTGGCATAGGGGGCGCAGGCCCAGCAGGCTCCTCCAACGAACGTCTGTGCAAGGACAAGGAGCAGGGCCACGGGCCACCAGGGGATGGCGACGAACGTCTCCGGGGCAAGCCTGTAGTCATCGGAGGGGACCCAGTCCACATGGTGAATATCTACAAGGCCAGGAGACGAACAGCCGGTATCTCCGGAGGGTCACCTGGAGCAATCCAACTCACTTCCCGGGCGGACGAACGTCCCCACTAATCAGGCGGGAAACCTAGATTCTGGCGGGAAGTGCATTAAATGCTGAAGATTTGGTGGTTGGGACACAAGCGGTCCACAGGCTTCCACGTCAGCATAGCTACCTGCCCATTGGCGGGTATAAATAGAAGCATTTATTTCATTGTAAAGGGTTGGCAACTTTCTATTCTTAGCATTCTGGCTATTGTATTCTTACTCGCAGCATCTCTACTGCCTTGTAAGACGAACGGCCGACGTGCCCTTTTTAGCAAGTAGATTGTACTTAGGGGAGTTATTACGAAGTTAATAATACCTATTTACATTGCC